GGATGCCAACAGGCCTTCCTGGGGTCACCTACCATAGCCAAAGTGTGATGTGGCACTCAGGCAATTCTCCCAAGAATTAAAGATCTTGCTCACATTCTGTATAAACCAACATTGTGTCACCAACCTCAGCAAGGAATTACTTTTTTTTTTTTTTTTAGTTTTTATTGAATTGAACTTGATTATATGTATTTTGGGGGTTCAACATTGAGATATGATGATCAAATCAATATTACTAACATATATATTGTTACAAATCATACTTGTTCTTTATGCCCCTTGTCCAATCTCACCCAATCCCCCTCTCTTTGCCCGCTCCCTCCTGTAATTACCCTAGACTTCTTCTCTCCTTCTGAAAGAATAATGGTTACTCTGTAGATTTGTTGCCTAGATGATCTGTCCAGTGTTGAGAGGTGTGATAGGTCCCCCAATATTGTCATAGAGCAGATGCTTCTTCTGTCACTCTAAAATGGGCTTGTGGAGAGAGACATCCTCTTCTTTTCTTGATCTCTGCTGGTGACTCTTCTTGTATCAATGCACTCCAGTGGCTGGCAGACCATCTGTGTAGTGGTTGTGGTGTCTAGCCACTTTTGCAGCAGCCATGGTTATTGTGGTGGCTGTGGTGGGCCACCCACATGGAGGCGATGTTTGTGGCGTGCTCCTTGGTGCTGGCGGTGTGCCTGGTTGTGAGGGGGTCTGGTCCCTGGCTCCATACCTTGGGTCCCCTGACAGACTCCAAGGTGCTGGTGTGGTGTGCCCAGATGAGGGGAGGGGGTTCCAGTACTCAGATCCATGCCTCGGGTCTTGGGCAGACCCAAGGTGCTGGTGCAGTGTGCCTGGTTGAGGGAAGGGGGTCTGGCCCTTGGCTCCATCCCTTGGGTCGCTGAGCAAGCCCCAAGGTGCTGGTGCTTTGTGTCTGGTTGTGGGAGGGGGTTCCAGTCCCTGGCTCCATGCCTCACATCCCTGGGTGTACCTGAGGTGCTGTCAGTGTGTCTGAGCCAGAACTAATTTTTTCGTGTCCTTTGGATATTTCTAAAGTGGAGGAACTTCCTGTTAGGGGCTAGTACTTGAGCTCCGCGGTTTAGCTAAATTGCTGCTTTGCTGCTGCTTCCCAAGGGAAGGCTTTTTGTGCAGCATAGGTTATAATGGTTGACTTTATAAGTACTTCTGGCTCTCCAGCAACTCAGTGAACTTGGGTTGTGCAGTAACTAATCTGGGCCTGAGTCTTTTCATCAAACTGCACCCCATGCAATTCTATATTCCTGACCAGTCTCCTCTGAGTGGTTCTGCACTGATTGGGATATAAATCAGCTGTCCTTGCTGTGCCCAAGTGGTCCCCCAGTGGGCCTGTCTCTCCCACTGCCTGTGCTGCAAACACTTCCTGTGGGATGGGCCATGCACCAATCACTTGTGATGACTCACCAGCCTCTGAGTGGCTCCATTTTTTCAGTTGTTGTGCCTCCTCACTCCTATGTGGGTCCACGGGAACCCTATTAATGGTCTTGCTGGCCTGAGGGCCACCAAGACCCTTTTCTCTCCTGCTACCTCCAAGCATCTCTATCTGAAGGGCACAGTTGTGCCTTTTGTCAGTTCCTGCTCCATGTGCTCAGCAGTTCTAGCCTTAAAGCAGCCGTGGCACGAAATGGTCAGAACAGTTTTTTTCTTTCTCTCATCGTGGTTTCTCCTGCTTTCATGCACTCTGTAGGTCTCTCCTCTTTCCCTAAGCTCTAGCGGCCCCAGCTTGACTGTTGTTGCTTTTTTATATAGTTGCAAATTGGTTGATTTCTGGGAGAGCACGATGCTAGGGACCATCTATTCCACCATCTTGACTGGAACTCCTTCAGCAAGGAATTACTAATTGCTCCAGTGACTAGGCCAAGGAGGCACTCACATGCAGCTCCAACACTGAACTGAGCCAAAGTACCCCCACAGAGGCTACACTACTGCATCTACCTGGAACCAAAGCTAAAACACTCCACTTAATGGTAAATATAAAACACATCTACAAAAGGAAGTCTATCTCCTGAAAGCCCACTTCAGAGTAATAGAAGAAGCAATTGCTCTACCAGATGACTAGATAACAAGGTAGAGATACTAGAAATGCAAAGCAATAGGAAAATATGATACCACTGAAGAAATATAATAATTCTCAAGTATCAGACCACATAGAGCAGGAAGCCCTTGAAATGACTGAAAAGGAATTCCTAGCAACAATCATAAGGAAACTCAATGAGATACAAAAAGACTCAGTTAGAAGACACAATAAAATGAGGAAAAGTATCCAGGATCTGTAAGAGGAAATGTACAAAGAGAGTAATGCCTTAAAAAAGAAGGTAGCAGAACTCATGGAACTGAAGCATTCATTCAATGAAATAAAAGACACAACTGAGAGCTTAAGTAGCAGGCTAGAGCAAGCAGAAGAAAGAACTTCTGATCTTGAAGACGGTCTTTTCAAATAACCCAGGTAGACCAAAAAAAAAAAAAAAAAAAAAAAAAAAAAAAAAAAAAAAAAAAAAAAAAAAAAAAAAAAAAAAAAAAAAAAAAAAAAAAAAAAAAAAAAAAAAAAAAAAGAATAAAAGAGAGAAGAACAAAAAGAAAGTGTAGAAAATCTAAGAGAGCTAGCAGACAACCTGATGCACACAAATATCTGAATCATGGATGTTCCAGAAAGGGAGGAAAAGGAAAAGGCATTGAAATAATAGCAGGAAACTTCCCAGGTATAGAGAATGACATGGACCTTCAGAGTCATGAAGCTTAAAGATCCCCAAATGTATTGAGTCAAGAAAGGTCCTCTCTGAGACACATTATAGTCAAACTGGCAAAGACAAAGAGATAATTCTAAAAACAGCAAGGGAAAGGCATAGCATCACCTATAAGGGAGTCCCCATTAAACAAACAGCAGACTTTGCAACAGAAACCCTAAAGGTCAGAAGAGAATGAGATAATATTTTCAAAATACTAAAAGAAAAAATTTCCAGCCAAGAATACTATATCCAGCAAGGCTAACCTTTAGAAATGAGGGAGAAATAGTGTATTTCCCAGACAAACAAAAACTGCAGTTCGCCACTGCGTGACCAGCTCTACAAGAAATCCTCAAGAAAGTACTGCATCTGGAATCTGAAAAAACAATAATCACTAACATGTATACACAAGAAAGAAAGAAAAAAAATATGGGTAGAACAAAGACACAAATGAGAAAGAGAAAGAAACTTTATCTAGCCACCTCAAGAAAACCAACAGACATGGAAGATAAACAATAAAAGAGGAAGAAGGAAACAAAAATTATTTAAAACATACAAACAAAAATTGATAAAAGGCCAGGAGTAAGTTAGTACCTTTCAATACTAACCCTAAATGGAAATGGATTAAATTCTCCACTCAGAAGACAGACTGATTGATTGGATTAAAAAGCTAGACCCAACTATAGGCTGTTTTCAAGAGAGTCACTTCACCTGTAAAGACACACAAAGACTAATAGTGAAGGGATGGAAAAAGACATACCATGCAAATGGAAAGATACAACAATCACAATAACACGTTGAACTTTCAAAGGAGAAAACACAACTGAGGTTACCAGAGGTGGGAAAAAGGAGGAGTAAGGGAAAAATTTGTAAAGGGTAACAAAAAATGATTACATTATGTAATGTTGAATATACTAATTATCCTTATTTGAGCATCACATATTATGCACAGGTATTCATATTCTAGTCTCTACCCCACAGATATATACAATCAATTATGTTTCAATAAAAAAAATTTTTAAAAAAGAAAAATACTTCATAAAAGGCTGGAAGAACAACTAAATCTCCAGGCCAGTGGATTTACATCAACATCTGTATTTCCACTGAATGACATGACAAAGGATACCTTGTGTCAGATTAAGAGACCACAGATTTCTTATACAGGATTACTTTTAAAAGTGATCTAAAATAATCTAATTTCCACAATGGGAAAATATCACAAATATTTGGCTAGAAGGAACCTCAGAACACCATCTATATTGCCCAAGAGTTTTTGGTCTGGTTTACCTATAAAACCAGTCAGAACCCACTGGAGCATCATCAACCATGTGATATATATGTATGTTACAGTAAACATTCAACAACATGCTGATATCCAGAATTAACATGAAGATTTGGCTGATAGTCAATTTCAAAGGAAATCTTGGTTCTAATTCAATGTTGATGAAAAGGAAAGAAAATACTTCCTCTCTCCTCACTCCCTCTCTCTTTTCTCCCTTTCTGAATGTGAAAAGTTTAACTTACTAAATCAATTACAGAGAATTGATTAGAGTCATGAATTAAAAATACATTTGCAATTCAATAAAAGATTGGTAGGAGAGTTAAGTTTAATTTAAATATTGATGAACATTTGCTGGAACACATACATACATATCACCTCTAAGGCAAATAATGAGTTATAGCCTTTTCTCACAGGTATTACTGTGTAACTGTTTAACCATTTAAAAGTTGCATTTGAACACTTTTGCCTGAACAAAAACCCTAAGTTAGAGCCATTGTATGCTGTATTATGCACTTGATAGTTCCTTATAAAGCACTGAAAAATATCTTAAAGTACCCACTTTATAGACAAAGTGGGGAAAGAAAGCCTGAGAAAGGAATGATAGATTATCCTTGAACTCCCAAAGAACTAGCAAATAAGCCAGGGATGTAGGTCAGGGTATTTAAATACAGAACCAACATGTTTGACATCTTTTTTCTGTTTTTCTAGTGTCAAATGGAAACTGCTATCTGCTATATTACTCGTACCTGCCTGGTTGTCTTGGATGTGAGTAACTTTATTTCTGATTCATACAGTGGTCTGTTAGCCAGAGTTATATGATCTGAGCCAATGGAACATTAACAGCAATCCAAACACTAAAGTATTTGGTTCAGTGCTGTGGTTTTACTTGAAAGAAATAAACCTCACAAAAGTGCCATGAAAAACAAGAGTTCAGTCTCTTAACTCAGAGGCAATCAATCTTAAAAACCTTGGAAACAGACATTGGAAATCTTGATAAACATCCACTTTAGTCCTGCAAATTTGGAATCCATGTTGCTCTGCTTCTCTCTCATCTCTTGCACTTTAGCCATCATTCTCTGGAACTCATCAGGGTAGATTCTGACATCCTTAATTTTCATTGTTGGCACCTAAAAAGAAAAGAGAGTATACTTGGGCTCGTTAGAAATTTCACATACTATCAATTCTCTATTATGGGCACTGATGGAAGAGAAAAGAGGCATGATTAATCTAAATCAGTACACTAAATTCTACAAATGTACTTATATTATAGCACTAAGCAAAGTATGCCTCATATTACAGTTACTACATACATTCTCATCTTCCTCACTAATTTGAAAGCTTTTGGAAAATTAGAAATAGTCTCCCTCTATTTTTCCTCTGATTCCCAGGACAACACCTTACACATAGTAGACCTGCAATAAATGTTTGCCAAATTCAGCATATATTTTTGAGTAAATTTTACACTTTAAGAACTGTGAGGGTACTGCAAAGATGTATAAGTCACAATTTCTACCCCTAAAGAATTGAAAATATTCTACCGGGAGAATAAAATATGCTTACAAAGAACTATAATTCAGTGCAGAAAATCTACAAAACATTTAGATGTGACTTTGACACTCAGGGAAGTATATTAATTTAGTAACACATCCTCATGCACACACCTCATTCTGTTGAGATTTGAGCTCTGACCCTTGCTGGCCCAGCTCCTTCCTGTTGAAGTGATTATAAGCGGTGTTAGTGAGGAGGCTTTATTTCCTGGGTAATCTACAATGTGGCTAATTTTCAGAAACAATCCAAAGTAGACTATAGTTTCATTTTATTGGCCTACTTGAATTAGGAGTATGTTGGACTAGGTGCTTTATAAAATGAAGCACCATTCTAGGGCTCTACAGTTTAAAGCAGAATAATGTGTATAACAGCAATGTTGTAATTATTTCCACAGATAGTGACTAAACCAGCTTTAATAATTTGGATCTGCATTGTTTGAGTATGCCTATAAGATGCATTATCACCATAACAGATCTTTCAAAAGTCTCATTCATTCAGAATCTCATGGTATAGGCACAATAAAAATTTCATTCAATCAGTTAATACACATAAGAGAAGTAATAAAAATAAAACTCTAATGGAATAACCCAACACATCACATTATTAATTACTCTAAACCAAAGGTTTACATCATGTCACCACTGTGAATAAGCCTGGGTTCTGGAAAGCAAAGAACTATAGACTCTAGGTCCCTCAAGCTGAAACTTGGGAAATATGAATAAGGACTTCCAACTTGTTTTTACCTGCTGTAAAGGTGTTTGAGGAATGAGTTCATCTGTCAAAGATTGCTCATGGAGTTAACAGAACAGGAGAGAATGTTATATATTTAGACATAAAAAAGATGACTATCTATGAAAAGCAGTATGTAATAAATGGTAAAGGGGTGACACATATAATAAATTTTATTGGGATTCAGAAGAGGACCCAATCACATTTGGAATGAACCAGATATCAGTTTTGATTCTGTGATAATGAAGAAATTGCCTGTCACCTGTTCAGCTCAGAACCTAGTCACCTCTTTTGTGGATGGCATGTAGCGTTTCCCAAATATTTACTAAACCAATTTGTGTAAAGGCTAACAAGCCAACATGACACATTTGCAGTTTTTGCTTTCTTCCATAAAAAATTAGAAAAAAATCTGGTACCTCTTCTAATATACCAAAATTGTTATCTGCACTAAATAATGAGATGTGAGAAGCATTGTTGCCTATGTAGAAGCTTTAAATTCAAGTCAAATATTGGTCAGTTTATATATCTAAGTATTACTCTATATGAGACCAACAAGATAAAGTGCTAAGTAGACCCAGAGATATCTGTACATGGCTCCTCTTTCAATGGGGTTGGATATTGACTCATCTTAGTTGAATTTCTACTTCATTCTTCTACCTCACATAATGGAAAAGGTCATTCCAAGGTCACAAGAGCTAAAGTAAAGACTATGTATCTTTGGTATTATGAAAAAAATGCCCTACTCCAGTGGTTCTTTAGTCTTATGATTTCTGTACGATCTTAAATATTTTTAGGAACTCAAAGAGCATTTGTTTACATGGGTTATACATATATCAGTATTTATGATATTAAAAGTTAAAGCCGATAAAACTTCTTGAAAAATTACAATAATACATACATTACATGTTAGCATTAGAATAATGACATCATCAAACATCATGTATCTTTAAAAAAATTACACTGGTCTCATGAAATAATGAAGAGTGAAAAAAGTATGTAATGTTTTGGTATTATTATGAAAATAGTTTTGATTTCATAGGTCCCCTGAAAATGTCTCGAGACTCCAAGGTATTCACAAATCATGCTTTGAGAACCACCGGTCTAAGTGATATTCCATATCTTCCTGGTTTCTCTTTTTGTCTTAAATTTCCAGTACACAGATATCATCTGTATGTAAAGTTCATGCAAAATACCAACATACATAGTTATCTCATAAGTGAAAAACTGTGGGACTATTTTATATTCTGCCTTGACTTAAGCAGCTCTGAGTGTGAGCAGGCAGGTTCAGCAGATATTTTGTTCATTAAGAAAAAATCAAAATAAAGTTATAGCTTCATAATTTATCATAGGCTTCTCTGCCTACTTCCTAAAATGTTATAACCTCATCAGCATGATTAAAAGATACAATGGTAATAAAATGTACCTCAGAAAGAGTGGTCATAAGTCTTTGGATAAATTGATATCAAATGGTTATCTTTCCAGAGAACTAGAAGTACCTAGCAACTGAGTTTCCAGCTGGGAAATCCCAAGTGCCAATGACTTGACCTTTAAGATTTAGAGAAATTGTAAAATATTTAGTTAAGGAAAAACTACCTGCTGCCCAAAATGCTATGAAAAATGTGTGGCAGCATTCTCTCTACCTTGCACTTGATATTTTCCAGAAAGCTGGCTTCCCCTTTTTTGAAGGATGGATGTTGGAATTCCATAGCTAATTTCTTCTTCTGGCCAAACATTCCATTCTCCAATGCACTCAACTTTCAGAAACCATTTAATGAAAATACAAAAACAAAACAACACAACAACAAAAACAAAGGTAATAAAATAGATCCTTACAGGAGAGCTGAAAATAATCAGAATAAATAAGCAATACTGCAAAATATTTGACTGCTACAAAGTACTAAATTGGTGCATAGTAATAGTCAGCTTAGCTTTGAACTTGGGAAATGAGATCTCAGTACTTATTTTACTTTGTTTTTATAGAACTTACAAATGACTTAGGTAATAGTGAGAAATCAGGAACAACTGAAATCTAGTTATAATCCTGAAGCCTTATTTCAACCAATAGCTTCAAATTCCTTCATTACCCACTCTATCTTTTTTTTTTAGTAAAATCAGAATTACATTTTAATTATTCTTTTACAGATGGCTTTAAAAGACATTTTTAAAAAGAAATACACTATGTAGTAAGCACTTCCTCTGTGTCAGCAATGATGGTTCCTAAGATTTTCATCATTGAAATCTATTGAGACAATTTAATAAAACTAATGAATCTAGGAAACAAGACCAAACATTTTAGAAATTTAAGTTCCATTTCCAACTGAGTGAATAGGGTATCTATTTTAGCTCTTTACTACACCTCAAATTAAGAAACTGCTTTCTAAAAATGAAAAGACAATTTGCAGAAAATAAGCTGAAAGTGATAAACAAGATTTTGAGATGATAATTCTTAAACTATCTGAATTCCAAAAGACATTATTTAAAAATAAGATAACATATAACTAGAAACATTTACTATGCACATATGTTTTATAATATTATCAGGCAAATCCACAATGAGGACTCTGTCCTCTGATAAACAGTGTTTAAAGAGGGCAAATAAACAGGATACATGGATACTCAAAGGTCTTAAAAAATGATATTTAAAAAAGTTAAAGAAAACCCTTTCACAATTCACTATTTGCCTTTTCATTGTATTTTTCTTTCTTATGGACCAACTACTTGACATGACAGATGGCTGCGACAATTGTTAATTGGATTTTTGAATGCCCACTATATCTTATCCAAGGATTATTTTGTGGGATCAAAATTAAATGATATGAATTTTATCTCCTTTTAGTGTTATGCTCACCTTTCAGAAAAGACTCAAAGGAAGTCAGTGTAAGAAAGGAGGAGAAGCAAAGGACTTGGAGAAATGACAAACTATTTCATCAGCACCTGAATAATCAAAAAATGGAGATATTGTGCATGTGTGAGTATGCATTTTTAATGTATAAGAAAAAAGTCTATGTAATTACATAACTAACTGCATAACACAACTATGTGACTACATGTTTCCAAAGGAGGAAAAATAGAAACCAGTGAAGTATACTTTCAAAAAGTGCGGAATTACCAGTTTTGGGGTAGGGTCTAGTAAGGTACTTCAAATTATTTGTTGAAACTAGCTATAGCTTACCCATCCTATTCTTTTAAGCTTATGTAGGAATCTGGAATTATGAACACTTTCAGAGATTCATAGTTCACAGGAACTAAACAAGGAAAGGAGAAAAGTATTTGTACCTGTTAGCCAGAGTATGCTGTTTCAAAACATTACTGTTTCCTCATATGTTAAGAGGTCTAACTTTCCCTTTGTGTCTCCCCTCAGGAATAAAGTGGTTTCCAAAGACATCTAGGAACATATACTATTCCAGTTTATGAGTTTTTGTTTTGTTTTGTTTTTTTAATCCCCTGATGAGGATCACATCCTTACACCACCACAGTCTTAGCAGCAATATTTGGCATAATAAGTCCCCTTTTTTGGGCTTGAAATACTGCTTTGCTGGGTAGAAAAAGGAAACTTTTTATCCTATATAAAATATAAGTCTGAATGATGGCTAAGATTTATGCTTTTAAATTATTTGTCCTAACTTTCATAATTTCATAATTAAAACTGTCAGCATATTTTAAGTTATAGAAGAGTAAAATTTTATTCTCTAGTGTCTATCTTGAGGAATCTCAATGTACATTGCTAGGGAGAAAGCTACAGCTGGATTCTAAGTGAAGGCAACCTGAACTTTATAATTACTAACTTTGAAATATTAGACTCTGGGCATTCAGAGGTCAATTCATTTAAGTAGTGATTACTTTCTTTTTTGAGGCCTGATCAGCTTCTATTTCCTGGTTAAATTGGGACAATAAATAAAATGTTCTCGCTATGGGAAACTGTAGAATAAGACTATATGATCCTGTCTTCAAATATCTCCACTGACTCTCCACTGACTCAAACGGGATATGGAAAGAAAACATTTTTTCCCTTTATCTTTTTTTTTATGTGCTGTATCGCTCTTTTTCTTTAGTAATTTTCCCTTTTTTGTCCTTATCCATGAACCCCACTATTTTTTCTACATTTGTTTGAGCTACCTTTTACACAATACTTTAAACACCACCCCACTACCTAAAAGAGTGAGAAATCCTCTCCAAATTCTGAATTCTTGACTCCCAGTCCACTTATAGTTTGCCATGGGAAGGAGATATTGCAGTCTTCTCTCTTTTGCACCCTGCTCTTCCAAAGGGTAGTAAGGACCCTCCTGAGTAGATCATACGCTTTTGCCCTTATTATTGTATGCATATCCCATTTGAGTACAATTCCCTGAAAAATACATTAAGGGGCATTTTCTAGATGGTATCTGTTTTCAATGACAAGGCGTGTTATGCATAGTCCAGGAATCCTACTAAGTTCTTCACTAAGACTAATCATAAATTTCACATAAATTTTCTAGTACAAAAAATCACTATTTGCTTTGAAATGAGAACTATCCCTGAGGTTTTTATTGGCATATGTGTCAAAGGCAAAAAAGAAAATTTAGGTAGACAGAAACTGACTACCCCCCAACCCCATTTTGGGGCAAAGAGGCTAACTAAACATGGGCAGCTGCAATTTTACAGCTAATTAATATGAAAGAGTTGCCAAAATACATTTTAAAGGGGGACATATTTCCTTCAAAAATAACTTTCCATGGCATTGTTTCTCCCTCATATAGTGAGAGGTTTAATTTTCATTCCCAATATCTGCATCCTCTGTCAGAACAGATAGCATAAAACTTAATCACCAGAGTTCTTATTTTTCTTATTATAAAGACCCACATTTTATTTATTTATTTTAGAGTAACATTATTACTTTTTACTCAAATTGTATCAGAATATAATAATTCACTTATATTTTATGATATAACACGTTCTCATTCAAACATATAATAAAGTCATACAGCATTCCAACTTTCCTGAACACTTAATAACTTTCTCTATACCGTTTCTCTTTCAGATATTAGAGTATTTTTTTTTTTTGTCCTTTTTGAGACCGGCCACACCGTGCTCAGCCAGTGAGTGCTGTGAGTGCACCGGTCATCCCTATATAGGATCCGAACCCGCGGCAGGAGCACTGCTGCGCTCCCAGCGCCACACTCTCCTGAGTGCGCCACGGGCTCGGCCCAGATATTAGAGTATTTTTTAAATGTGAAGTGTTTTTATCCAGACATAAATATTAATGCTGGACATAATGAAATCAGCTTAATTGTTATTAGGTATAGCTCTAAACAAAATTGCAGAAGAGGTGGAACCTCTGTCATTTTTTTCAGCCTAACTGTTCTGCAATTTCATCTTCTTCTTGGTCTCTTCTCCTAGGCATTTAATTACACTGTCTCCTTATATTCCTTTCTTTCTTTCTTTTCCTTTGCTTCTTTTCTCTGACTGTTTTATTTTTTATCTTTTTATTTTACTTTATCAATATACAATGAACTTCATTTTCATGTCACTTTACCAATTCCTCCTTTTCTTCCCTCCCTCTTCCCTCTCTCCCCCAACATCATATCTGTTAACTTGTCTTAACATGTTCAAGGAATTGTTGTGATTGTTGTGTCTTTCCCCAGAACATATTTATTTGTATGAATTTTATTTACTTATTTTTATTAGCTTCCACAAATAAGTGAGAATATGCAGTATTTCTCTTTCTGTGCTCGGCTTATTTAACTTAATATAATTTTCTCTAAATCCATCCATCTTCCTGTGAATGGTAGTATGTCATTCTTTTTTATAGCAGAGTAGTAGTATTCCACTGTGTAGATATACCACGTTTTCCTTATCCACTCAACCGATGATGGGCATTTAGGCTGGTTCCAACTCTAGGCTATTGTACATAGCACTGCAATAAACGTGGGAGGACAAGTATCCCTTCGACGTGATTTCTATTCCTCTGCATATATACCCAGCAGTGGAATAGCTGGGTTATATGGCAGATCTATCTGTAATTGTTTGAGGGACTTCCATACTATTTTCCATAAAGGCTGCACAATTTGGTAGTCCCACCAACAATGGAGGAGGGGTCCTTTTTTTCCACCTCCTTGCCAGCATTTGTCATTCTCAGTCTTTTGGATATCAACCATCCTAACTGGAGTGAAATAGTATCTCAAAATGGTTTTGATTTCCATTTTTCAAATGCTGAGTGATGTTGAGCATTTTTTCATGTGTCTGTTGGCCATTTGTATATCTTCCTTTGAGAAATGCCTATTCAGCTCCTTTGCCCATCTTTTAATTGAGCTATTTGCTATTTTGATATAAAGTTATTTAAGTTCCTCGTATATTCTGGATATTAATCCTTTGTCAAGTGTATATTTTGCAAATATTTTCTCCCATTCTATTGGTTGTCTTTTTGCTCTGTTAATTGTTTCTTCTGCTGTGCAGAAGCTTTTTAGTTTGATATAATCCCATTTGTTTATTCACCCTTTGGTTACCTGTGCTTTTGGGGTCTTATTCATAAATTCCGTCCCCAATCCTACTTCCTGAGGAGTTTCCACTATGTTTTATTTAAGGAGTTTTATTGTTTGAGGATGTATATTTAATTCTCCAATCCATTTTGAGTTGATTTTGGTATACAGTGAGAGGTACAGGTCTAGTTTCATTCTCCTACAATATGTATGCCCAATTTTCCTAGAACCATCTACTGAGAGTCAGTCTCTTCCCCAGTGTGTAGTCTTGGTTCAAG